CACACACACACACACACACACACTGCATAACTCTACCAGCAAGTGTCCTGTACTGTAAAATTTTCTAAACAATGCTTTTAATAGCCTTGCTTCTTCTGATGAAAACCATTATTTTTTAATCTAGGAAGAAGCATCTATGGAGATCGGTTTCCTGATGAAAACTTCAAGCTGAAGCACTATGGCATTGGCTGGGTCAGCATGGCTAATTCTGGCCCAGACACTAATGGCTCTCAGTTCTTCATTGCTGTAACAAAGCCTGGCTGGTTAGATGGAAAGCATGTAGTATTTGGAAAAGTAATTGATGGAATGGTAGGTGAATTCTGCAATGCTTTTATTTATTAGAAATAGAATAGGTCCCTACCTGCACGTGCCCTCCCCCGCGCATGCGCAGCAGAGATCCAAAGACCAGCTGGCTGACGGGGTGTGCACACATGCGCAGCGGAGCTGAAGTGGGGCAACAGCTCATGTGCCATCAGAGAAGGCGTTGCATACCACCTCTGGTATGCGTGCCATAGGTTCACCATCACGGATGAAGAGGTATAAAACCTCTAAAGTGAAAAATCCCACAAAATTTAGACTACAGCATGTGTCTTATTTGTTGAGTGTTTCATACCTTGTTTTTCCTTTTCATCAAAAGCCACTCTCTCTTTAGTCTGTAGTACATGATATTGAACTTCAGGCAACAGATGACTATGACCAGCCTCTTCAGGACTGTGTGATCATTAACAGTGGAAAAATAGATGTAAAAGAACCTTTTGTGGTTGAAGTAGATGATTGGAGAAGTTGACAGAAATAGAAGCAACTGAGCAGCAAGCACGTCTGGTTATCATTGTGTGAGGCTTCTATCAGAAAATACTTTGCAGAGACTGTACAACATGATCTTGCAGGTAACAGAAAATACCTGGGTATTAAATGAGGAAATGCTATGATATTGCCTTTCTAGGGTTGATTTAAAGAGATATGTCTTTATAGTATTCATTTTTATAGTCCCTTGCTTTTTTGTTTATTAGTATCTTATGAATACTTTTTGAATATTAATACTTATTAATATTAATATCTTATGAATATCTTTAACATCTTTGCCTAGTAATTTTAAAACTTTGAACAACCCCCCACTTATTCAACAGGCAAGTCTATAGCACATATTGTGTGGATTTCCTAATTTATGAATCTGAAAATAGACAAGGAAGAATTACTACGTAATTAAACAAATTATACTGATATGACAAATACCTTGCATCATATCCTTCAACAATACATAGATTTTATTTCATTTCAACTTTGTTTCGAATTTGTCAAAATGCAAAATATGTCATTATTATAGTTACATATTAATTTTATAAATTTATCATTTAAATCTTGCTTACTTACCTTATGTGAAAATATTAAACCACTGGTGAAAACCACCTGTTTTAAAACAATGCTTTATTTTGTCATGCATATTTTTTTTACTAATCCAAGACTAATTAGGTTTAAAAGATGTAAATATATTTTCATTTTCTATACCCAACACAATAGCAATAACATACACGAAGACAAGAATATCATTTATTGTCAATTATTTTTCATATTTCTGCCCATATTCATTACAGCTAACAATAAGAAGAAAAACATGAACCCATCACTATTAAACCAATTCAGAGTGAAAAGGCTTGACCATAAAAGTCTAGACTTATTTCAAGATAGTGGAAGAATGTTGGGGCTGAATGAAACAGGGAATTGAATTTTGTTCAGCATTGGAGAAAATTCTCTCCTGGGTGACAGGCAAATGGACTTCAAAAAATGAAGCTATTTTTAAGAAGTCTCTTCTTGACAGGTTCACAGTATTTGGATCTGAGGCAGGAAAGCTGCTTTGAAGAAGATGTGAATGTACTGTCTGCACCTGGTGTTGCCTCTTTAAGCAATAATATCTACTGCTTGATAAGGTTTGACAGTATCGCTGACAGAGAAGATGGAAAATCCCCAAAGGCATTCAGGAAGTCATTTTAACATTGGTTAAAGTTCATTCCAGTGGCCAACCTAAAGCTGCCCAGAGAATGATCTGCCAGGACAACTGAGAGATAGGAAAACATCTCTGACAGCAACTGTATTTGAAAAGCATAACTACAACATGTTGTACTGTGCCAGGTACCCAATGGCAGAGTCATAGTTGTTATGGTAGACGTGAATCCCCCAAGTTAAGCATAGTATGTTACAGCTCCATCCTCAATATTTCCCAGCTATGGCACATGTACTCAAAACTGACAAAGTGGTAGATGGACATATGACCAAGAAGTTAGTATTTTTACATTCATTATTTCATTGTGGTTTTAGCATTATTTTGAATTTCATATGTTGAGAAACAATGTTGATTTGCAGTGTTGATAGGATGGATAAACCTTTGGGGATGAGGTCAAAATGGGCAGATTTTTACCATACATTTGGGTGGAAGCATTATTTTCATTTTTTTCCTGGGCCTGCTAATGGTTTCTTTTTTTAAATTGTGTTAATGCATATTTGTATAGTTTTGAGTATATTTTTTTAATGTACTTCCATCTCAAATCTTTGGGAAACGGCTAAATTTTTAGCAAATAAAATTAGGGAAAGTTCCAGGAGCTGCAAACAGGAGTCAAGTTGAATTGCCCCTGGACTGGCTAATTATTTTTATTAATCATGTTTATTATTATTTATATTTCAAAAGGTTAGAAATTAACAAAATTTTCAAAATGACATTAAGCATAGGCTAATAAAAGTATTGCAGCCGAGTTTATGACATAAATTAAAACTGAACCAAACTGTTAGCATCTCTGTTCTTAAAATAATACTTACGTGATATAACATCAGAAATACTGATACAGTGAGCTTATATTGCATTTCCAGTTTTCATAGTTATTTTTTAACATTTACATTTTTTAGTCATCCATGCTATTATATTTTATGTATCCTCTGCCAGCAGTGGATACAATGCTGAGACAAAAGAATTAGGATAATGATTTATCACAGACACAAAAATTATAAATACATGATGAAAGTTAGTGTAATTTGGCATTTTGTCAGCGGTTTTAAAATTTAAGTATTTAGAGTTTAATATACAGGTTCAACCGAGTAGCGTTTCCCCCTGTTCATAATCTTGAAAAGCAGCCATTTTTAGTGATACAATTAAAAAAATCCCCAAAGTTCCATCTTCGAACACAGGCTTCAGTATCATGCTTCAGTATTTTGATTTTTACTTTAAAAAAAAAAGCCTCCAAAACCCTGCATCGAGGAACACAACTTGAATTTACTCTGATTATTTTCCGTCGAAATCCATTTTCTACCTGGGTTGTAGGTGAGGATAAAACAATCCATGGAGAATGCCTTCAATAACTACATTTGGAAAGTCATCTGGGGAAAAAAAAGAGAGAAGAAAAACTGCTTTCTTACATATGTCAATACAATATAAATGTTTTTGTAGAACCTAACAAGGCGAAGCCTGGTGTAATTTAGGATATTGCATCACCACCCTGTTTATCTTTGCTCAGAATTTGTTATTAGTAATGCTGTTTCAGCAGGAACCCACTTTAGTGTAGCACTGGGCATTGCTTGAATGCACTGCCAGATTTGCAGCTTATTGATTTAAAGGGATGTTCTAATACTTAATGCTGCTAGGCTCCAGCTCTTTATCTGAATCTTTTCTCACAAGGAAGATGGATTACACTGGCAATTCAATTTCTAACAAAATCTCAATACACTTGAAGGAATTCCAAGATTTCTACTGGGAATAGTCTGCGGCAGTTTTTCCACTATAGTTTACAGCACAGTTTTGTCCAAGTTGACTGGAAGAGGCTTAATGCTGTCACACAAACATCTCTAGAGCAGGAAAATGACAAAGTTTTTTTTTAAAATGGATCTTGAGAACTTTTGGAGAAAGTCCTAGAAAGAACTTAAGCAAAGTTAATCACTACAACAGATACAGGAATCAAAACAAAATATTAACAAGAAGGAAAATTTCAGTAAAAAAATGTGACTGAGGTTTATTTTTTGGGGTGCTTAAAAAGAATATTTTTCAATGTATGTATACATTCTTAATAAAGTTGGCTTTATTGTACCCACATTTTCATACTGGGCTAGTGCTTTATTTTCTGTTTGAGTGTAAAACTTTACAAAAAGCATTCAAAATAGCATAATTTGGTAAGGGCAGTGATTTTATTTCAGCCAGGGAATCAATTATTCCATGCTAATAATTCCAATTCCAATTTCTTTTCCAAAGCTCTTTTTCTGTAGCCTTTACTTTCCACAATTAACAGTAAATGGCAAGATTAATTTAACCGAAGAAACTATTACAAGAGTGAGTAATTAAATACCCTTTCTTTTGTACTATATCCCAGCCCATATCAATCACAACAGCAAGTACATTTTATACCTTAAAGATGAAGGGAGTTTAAGACTTAGTTTGAACATAAACTGTACTGGAGACATCTAATTTTGCTCACTTCACAGTCTAAAATCATGATATCACTGGATATTGGGAATATTTGAAGGGGGGAAACTAGCAAAGGTTATGTGAAATATCATAAGCTACAATAAAAAGACACAACATATCAGAACACAAAAAAGATTTTTCATCCAACTATTTGTTTTTATAATCCTTATCAAAATATTAGCAGTGCTACAAGATTCCATTCCATTTGAAATTTACTTCCAAGAGCTTTGCTATTGATGTAGGAGAGAGCCAAGATAACAATATCTTTTTAATTTTTATTTGTAGGAGGGCTGTCTGCAAAAAAAATAAAAATCATTTTTCAGCAATTACTTTAAACAGCATTAAAATAACTCCTGATGTATTGCCAAATTATTAGAATTTGTGCTCAACATACATTTATAACAATGTGGTTTTTGTATTATGGGGCAGATCAGTAAAGAGCTGTTAATGGATGACAGGTCTGATTACCATTGGCTGTAGGCAAGACATATGGATCCCTTAGGAACAGCAACACAGGCTGGTGGGACAGTTTGCTGTAAAGGTCAAGAACAGGAATATCAGCATCAAGGGACACTAAACCAAATACATTACAAACTAGCTTTGATAAAGTAAGGCAGTAGAACCGGGTAGGAATACCGCTTATATATATAAATCAGTTTTATGGGAAAGGGGAAAAAAACATCATCAAGGAATAATGCTTACATGCAGAAGATCACATATAATATGAGGAATAGGTATGTATTTACTCAGAACCTAATCCAGCTGAGTCCAGAGCGGTTTAATTTCTTGCAAGGGGACCAATGATCACAGTACTAAAACTGGTTTAGTTGTTATGTAGCTTGTCTGGAAATAATCTCAGGATAAAGTAAGTAGTTCAAGATTGCAGTTGTCAGCAACTTCAATTCCTTTTTTTTTCTTAAGACTTCAACATTAATTTATTTCCGCTGCTAGAACTTGTGTGGATTTAGGACACTTAAAGAAAGTATCATAATTTTCCTACCCATCTGTTACACAAAATATGTAAATAAAGAAGGAAAACTCGTATCATCATATAAATCTGTGGGCAGGAAAATAGTACTATAACCTGATTTAACTGCATATAAATTTAATTTCTAGGCATCAAAACCAGAATTGCTATAATAGTAGCGTATCGGGAAGTCTAGGTTTTTCTGGTTCAGAAATACCTACATAGGAAATCTGGAAAAAGGAAATCTAAATATAAATACAAACGTGTTAATTCACGTAAGATAAAAAAAACTGACAGATAACAGCCAAAAATCAACATAATGAGACTGTAACAGATAAATCCTCCTTAAAATATTCTGTTAGGCTCTCTTTCAAAATTAACTGGGGATGAGTACATTTAACCATGCAATGTTAAATGTTTGATTAACTTCAATATAATCAGTTTTAAAAAATTCCAATTCAAAAGAGCAATACAAAACTGTGGCTCCTAAAATCTTTGTACGCTGCTTCTTGTTAAAAAATGAAAAAAAAAGTGTATGTCTTCATCATATCTGTTGCAATGTACAAATAATTTTCTTAATCCTCTCACATCTGATACATATAAAAACACTTAAGAATACAAATGTCTTACCTTGATTCTTCAGACTCTGTTTCTTCAAAAGAACTGGAATATAATTTGTTAAAATATTAGAATATACACATATAAAATATATACTCCACAAAAGGAATGGCAAAACTTTAATTCTCTTTAAAACAGATTTTAACACTGCCTTATGCCTTCCTGTAGCCAGCTGTCCCAAGTGTGTCTAAAATCCACGTTAAAAAACAGGCTCAATTGCATGTAATGGCTGCCACCTGAACTTTTATGATCCTTTATCCAAAGACATCCTAGCAGCTATCCAAATTATTTTTAAATTATTCTACTGTAAATATTTTTAAAATAACTTCTATTTTAATGCCAGCTGCTTTCCATTTTTATGATAATGAACGCTTAACCCTACACACCCAATTTTTTTAGTGTCATTTCAATACTATTTCAGAGGTCACATATGTTCAAATGTCCCAAAGCATTTTTAGTATAAAAATTGTATTTTTTCAAAAGAATATAGACATACATAAACTCCTTCTACTGAAATAAATGAGAGATTTCTAAAGAAGGGACCTGCATTGTCAGCAAAGCTTCTAAACCTGGAGGAATTACTGAATCAGATTAATGCAAAATTATACCAAATACTTAGATATGAAGTCAAATTCACTGTCTCAGCATGGTAATGCCAAAACATATTAAATAAGAATTTCCTTGTTTTATATTCAAAACAGAATCATTGAAGAATTTCTTGAACATTTTTAAGTGCCATATTTAAGGAAATAATCTAATATTTTGAGACAAATTGTGAATGAAATTTTTAATTAATAAAGGGAAATTGTAATTGTAAATTTATTGCATTTTGTTGTATTTTGAACTCTTTGGATAAAATTCTTACCCACAACTTTCTGCTTTTGGGAGAGAAGGAAAATGGCGAACGTTGAGAAAATCAAGAAACATCTTGGGAAGTTCTTCATTTTCTAAAACAATACTCTATAATAAAATAATAATAAAAATAATGCACTTAGTCTAACATGATCACATCCAGTAGTCATTTTGCTAGTGGAATCTGAAAAACATTCATCCATCACAGCAGCCAGGGAAATGTCTTCTGATTATCTGGGAGTCTAGCTGGCTTCATTAATGAAAGATTTAATGTGTTTTAACAAGGACAGGGAAGTGTTTGATTTGATAGATCAGCATACAACACACAGATTCATCTCAAACACCTTGACTAAGTGCAAGATCACCGGTCCAAGTGACAATCAATGCAAAGTTCAGTGGAGATTAAATCCATATATTTCATAAGAAATAATTGATGATGTAACCCATAATCATTTTATAAGGAAGCAATTAGCAATACATTTAAAGATGTCTATAATTGTTAAATACTCATTTATCAAACATTTTCTAACATATTTCTAATTTGGGAATGTTACAATCAAAAGTTATCCTTTCTTACTATGGTACTATTAACAAGGACAGAATGAGAAGTATATCACTCTAGAAAAAATACATAATTTGATAGAGAGGTTTGAATTAAGATTCTGATAGACCAAGAGATAAGCTCAACTTAATTCAAGGGCTGCAAATAGATCATAGAAAAAGGGCCCTGGCATAAAGAAGATATTGAAAAGAAAGAAAAAGAAGCCTTTCATTAAGAGGATAGCAATAGCACTTAGACTTATATACTGCTTCACAGTGCTTTATAGCCGTCTCTAAGCAGTTTACAGAGTCAGCATGTTGACCCCAACAATCTGGGTCCTCATTTTACCGACTTCAGAAGGATGGAAGGCTGAGTCAACCTTGAACCGGGTGAGATTCGAACTGCCGAATTGCAGTCAACCGGCAGTCAGCAGAAGTAGTCTCCAGTACAGCACCCTAGTCACTCTGCCACCACGGCTCCAGACCAACTTTATATGTTTGACTGTTTCCACATAATATGTATACAGTATTTACTAGATTTATATCCTGCCTCTTCTTCAGAAGTTCAAAATGGCAGTTAGGAACACTCCTTTCTCCCATTTTTTACCCACAGCAGTCTTATAAGAAAGATTGGCCAGTGAAAAATAGCTGGCCCAGTCTTTTGAGGTTCGGAATGAGGGACGCGACCACAGGGTGAACAACTAACAGGCTTTTATTCCAGATAAGTATGACAGCGATTC